TCGAGGGGTCCATGTCTTCACTTAGGGGCTGAGGACGGTGTGCTGCAGCCACTGTGTGCAGGACTGCACCACACCGCACTGTCCAAGGCCAGCACTGCAGCTTGGAGGAGGAGCTGGGAGGTGTGGGGCAGGGCTTGCTAGCCAGGGGCGGGGCTTCTGCTAATCAATGCTCAGGACACTTCTGACCAAAGCGCATGCTCCAGGCCATGCACCACACTGCCCCTCCCCTTCTACACAGCCAGCATGAGCTTCCTAACCAATAAAGTCTAGCCGGACTACCCAGACAACAGACAACAGCCAAGTATGTGTGCACAGCCAGCTCCACAGTCCAGGGCCCCTGCTACCTGAGAGTCCTATGAATGGCCTGCAGGTTGCACCTGCACAGGGCCTGTCCCTCACATTGAAGCCTCAGCCATCTATCCACTTCTTACAGGGGACACACAGTCTGAACCCCCAGCTTTGTCCCATAGATGGAAATGGAGGGCAACCAGCAGCATGCCCCTTCCCTAGGTCCTGTCCCATTCAATCTCTTCAAGTGTGACACTTGATCACTGCACCATCCTGGGTTCGAGATGCTTCCATGTCCCAGCCCTTCCTCTCCAGTCAGACTGTTTCTGCCATGCCCTACCTGTCCAGCTGTGGTACCGGTCGCCGGCATCCCACTCACCACCAACCTCTGTCAACTTTGGGGTCACTATCCCTCACAGCCAGCTCCCCAAAGTTTTCTGACTCTGCCCTTCAGTATGTCCCCTTGCTACCACTTTTACGGCCACCCAGAATGACATGGAATTCGTAGCAGGGTCCAGTCCTTTGGTCCTGTACCACTACCAAGAAGCAGGCCACAGCCGATCTGCTCCAACCAGCACAGAGGTCAGCAGCGCACTGTTGGTAACTGCCTGCATCCTAGACAGAATATCCATGGCAGGAGGTCAGTTCTACCTACTTCTGTGTCCCACAAAAAGTCACCAGAGAACATGTGGACCCCTGGTCCTCTGTGCTGGGTAAACAATGAGGGACAGAGGTGACCTCCACAGGATGTTTCCAGCCTCCCTCAGTCTCCTGGCACACTCAAGCCTACACTCTGGGTCCTCTCCCAAGACCCTCTGTTGGTTTTTCAGATTCAGAGTACCAATCCTTTCGCAGACAGGCCTATTGCATGGGTCAAGTCAGAGCCAGGGAGGCCATGAAAACGGCACAGGAATAATGCTGGCAACACCCACAGACATAGACTAAGAATCCAGGTATCGGTTTCATATGGCTCTTGAACCCCTCAGCCGCCATTCTTGCCATCTTGGGGACTCAGTCAGTCTACCAGTTTCCAGATTTGGGGAAATCGGTAAAGAATTAAAACATGATTTTTGCCATGCACACGCTTTTAATCCCAGCACTCAGGAGGTAGAGACAGGCAGATCTCTGTGAATTCAAGGCCAGCCTGGTCTACAAAGAGAGTTCCAGGACAGCCAGGGCTACACAGACCACAGAGAGAAACCCTGACTTCAAGAAAAAAAGAAAGGAAAAAAGATCCCCACAATTTTCTAAATGCTCCCACTTAAATTTCTACTTCTTACTAAGTTGAACCTGGACAAGCTGTGTGTCTGTGTCTGTGCATGCACATGTGCATGCGGAGGGCATGCAGACTAGAGGCAAATTCAGGTCGCTGGCCACCTGGTTTTGAACCCGGGTCTTCTGCAAGAACAAGTGTTCTTTTTTTTTTTTTTGGAATTGATATTTATTGAGCTCTACATTTTTCTCTGCTCCCTTCCCTGCCTCTCCCCTCCCTCCTCCAATCCTCCCCCAAGGTCCCCATGCTCCCAATTTACTCAGGAGATCTTGTCTTTTTCTACTTTCTACTTCCCATGTAGATTAGATCTATGTAAGTCTCTCTTAGTGTCTGCATTGTTGTCTAAGTTCTCTGGAATTGTGGTTTGTAGGCTGGCTTTCTTTGCTTTATGTTTAAAAACCACCTATGAATGAGTTCATATGATAATTGTCTTTTTGTGTCTGGGTCACCTCACTCAAAATAATGTTTTCTAGCTCCTTCCATTTTCCTGCAAAATTCAAGCTATTGTTATTTTTTTCTGCTGTGTAGTACTCCATTGTGTAAATGTACCACATTTTTCTTATCCATTCTTCAATTGAGGGGCACTTAAGTTGTTTCCAGGTTCTGGCTATGACAAACAAAGCTGCTATGAACATAGTTGAGCACATGTCCTTGTGGCATGATTGAGCGTCCTTTGGATATATACCCAAAAGTGGTGTTACTGGGTCTTGAGGAAGGTTGTTTCCTAATTTTCTGAGAAATTGCCGTACTGACATCCAAAGGGGTTAAGAACAAGTGTTCTTAACTGCTGAGCCATCCCTCCAGCCCCAAGAACTGGCAAATATCAAGGCTGAAAATGGAGAAAGGCCTGGGGGAAAGAGAGACGTCCTTGGGGAGGAAGCAGGGTGGTGGCACAAAATCAGGATGCCCGTTTCTCCATCTTTGTTTGAGAAGCAACACGGCTGGTCCCTTGCCACAGTGCTCAGCTTTTCCCCTGCCTCACTGCCCACGTTCCACGATTCTAGGCCCCTGGCAATCAACTGTGGATTAGAGACACATTTTACTGACAAAGCAATAGGACATTCACTGCAGCAGCTGGGCTCACCAGCATGGGACACAGCAGAAAGCCACAACCTCCAACTTGTCCTGGCTATCTTCAGAGGACAGGCAGTCTGGCCATGTACCACTCCCATGGTGACTAAGGGTCCAATCATGTCATCTGCCCTAGGGACACACATCCTGGACAAAGGCACGTCCTCTTGAAGCTTTCTGACAATACCAAGAAAGGAAGGAACACCTAAAGAACTCCAGGATCTAGATCAAGCCAGATCCTCTCCTTTACACATTGAGCAACCCTTCCTCACACATGCCCTGTGACCCTAGAGAGCTCTTCCACATACCCAAACCAAAGGCAAAGCCCTGGTCCAATCCTGCGTCCACCCGCCCTACACATCAGATGAGTCACCCCTTGGGGCCCTGGGCCTTCACAACCTGGTTTCAACCTCAGACTGGTGCTCCCCTCAAGGCGCCCCTCTTCAAACCTGTCTGCCCACCATGGCAGCCTTCTCTTCTTTTTTTTTTTTTTTTTGGTTTTTCGAGACAGGGTTTCTCTGTGGCTTTGGAGCCTGTCCTGGAACTAGCTCTTGTGGACCAGGCTGGTCTCGAACTCACAGAGATCCGCCTGAATGGCAGCCTTCTTGTTGGGGCTCACTGATTGTGGATTATGTTAGTGGGGAGTGGCCCAGCTGGTCCTGCACAGGGTGACCTGTGCCATCTATAGATGATGTCAGTAGATACCTTTGGCCCCAGAGGACCAGGCCTCTGCAGAAAGGCTTCTCTCTCTGCTTCACCCCACCCCTCCCTTGTTCACCCCATAAGCTGTCACCACAGCAAACATGGACCTAACGAAAAAGGGAAATCTTGGAATCCAAGAAAGATATATTTCTGAAGAACTCTACTTCTGCTTACTTTACTACTGGGCGAGGGCTTGGCTCAGGGGTTAAGAGTACTTACTGCTCTTGCAGAGGACCTGGATTTGGTTCCCAGCACCCACAGGGCAGCTGGCCACCATCAGTAACTCCAAGAGATTCATTGCCTTTCCTGGCTTCCACAGGTGCTGTATGCATATGGTGTACATACATACGTGTAAAATAAGATTTTAAAAAATTAAACAAAAGAATGGGGCTGGAGAGATAGCTCATCAATGAAGAGCATTGGCTGCTCTTCCAGAGAACCCAAGCTGGATTCCCAGTGCCATGCAGTTGCTCCTACCATCTGGAAACCCCATTTCCAGAAGACATGGCACCCTTTTCTGGCCTCTTCAGGCATCAGGCACACAAGTGGTGCACAGACATATATGCAGGCAAAACGCCCATACACACACACACACACACACACACACACACACACACACACAAACAAAACAGTTTTTTTCTGTTTTGTTTTTGTTTTTCAAGATGGGGTTTCTCTGTGTAGCCCTGGCTGTCCTGGAGCTTGCTCTGTAGGCCAGGCTGGCCTCGAACTCACAGAGATCCGCCTGTCTCTGCCTCCTGAGTGCTAGGATTAAAAATATGTGCCACCACGGCATGGCAAAACAAAATTAAAATTTTAAAATTTTTTTAAAAGCCCACATATCTCTAAAGCACTGTCAGCTCATCTGTCTCCTGGCTTGAGACATCCTGGCTTGTCATCTGTTGAGAGTTGGATGTGCTGGCGACAGAAGCCAGGGCCTCACACATTCTGGCCAACAGCTCTACCACAAAATGGAGAGAGACAAGTGTGGCTGTCATCCTAGCATCAGGACCCAGCAAAATTTCCAGTACCATCTATTGCTTCTCTTACCACCCAAACAAACTCAACCTACCACTGGCCAAAGCAAGTCTGAGTTCACTGGACTACTGGCTTTAAATACATTTTCAAAATACCTAAGAATCTGGAGCCGTGACTCATGCCTATATAATCCTGGCAACCAGGGGGTCAGAGGTTAAGGTCACGCACAGCTACATCATGGGTTTGAGGCAGCCTGGGTTATGTGAGATTCTGTCTCAAAAACAAAAAAGAAAAGGACCCAAGATATCTAACTATGTCTCACTATGTATCTTTGACTGGCCAGGAACTCACAGAGATCCACCTGCCTCAGCCACCACATCCAGCTAAGTCTGAGTCATTAGGCCCCATACAGACTGCAGCTGCCCAACTTCCCAGATACTTTGCTCGGGAAGTTGACTTAGGCACAAACACTAACTGTGGTTCTGGTCAACCCAGCTGCTGGCGCAGGAGAAGACTCGCTAACATGTCCCTTGCCTGCTCACCTATGTAATGGTAAGGATGTATTATGTCTGTGAAACTGTAACACTGGATGTTGGAGAGGTAAAAGCTCACTCTCCCTGTTACTCCTAGGAAGAATCGATTGCAATACCTGCAAACATCTTAGAAATTATTTTAAAATTTGTTTATTTTTGTAACTATGGAACACTTTCTGAATCTGAGTTATCATATGTGTGCAGGGGTCATGTTAATATTCTCTGTATGGTTCCAGCTTCAGTATATGTGCTGCCTGAACAAGCCACTAAAGCTTGTTTGGACAGAGGGCCGGGAACACAGCTCAATGGTGGAGCATCTGCCCAGCACACACAGACCCTGGCTGGATTCGATTCTCAGCACTGGAGGTTGGAAGGGGAGGAGGGTGTTTAAAAAACAAAAAACAAAAAGAGCAAGTGGGCTGGGCGGTGGTGGCACACGCCTTTAATCCCAGCACTCGGGAGGCAGAGGCAGGCGGATCTCTGTGAGTTCGAGGCCATCCTGGTCTACAAGAGCTAGTTTCAGGACAGGAACCAAAAGGCTACGGAGAAACCCTGTCTCGAAAAATCCAAAAAAGAAAAAAAAGAAAGAAAGGGGAAAAAAAGGAAAGTGACAGGGAGGGGGTCACATAACCATTAAAAGTAGAGAATTAACACCTTTCCTCCCATCCTGTCCCTTCACGATCCCAAACACAGTGTAAATACGATCACTTCCTGCTTGTTCCTCCAGTTTCCTTATGGAAAATAACCAAGTAAATCCTAATAGGGTCTCGACTTTCCATCTTCTAACATAAAAGCTGACATCCGACGGACATGCTTCAACCCTGGCTCTTCCATCAACCCCATCATCACCCTTGCTCCCTAAATGGGCACACAGGAGGGCAGCTCCTCTTTCCTGCTAGTATGTCTATTATTTCTGATAGACATTTCCCCTCATCCGTTTGCCATTTTCTCATCAAGTCTCAGAACTCAAGACTTTTGGATTTTATCAATATGATAATTGCAATTTGGTGTAAATAAAGTCTAAATTTTGAAAATCGGAAGTTTTAACATTTACTTATTGGTTTGTTTGTTTATCGTATGTGTGCAGCAGCGGAATGGAAGGCAGAGGACAACTCAGGTCATCACCTTTACCATCGGAACCATTCCGCCTATAGCAGATATATATAATTATAACCTCAAAGTTCTAGGAGAAGGAAATGTTTACTCCGATGTGTCGACTGCTATGGTTTGAATGTGATTGGTCCACACCAAAGTTCACCTGAGGCTTAACTCCTCAAGGTAAAGGGATTGAAGCAGCAAACCTTAAGAGAAATAATTAGCTGTTTAAGAAGGATTAATGCTGTCTCACAGGGGTGCTGTCTCTCAAGGGACGAGATTAGCGCTTGCCAGAGCAGATTGCTCTCAACGAGCCTGGACCTTCCAGGATTTCTCCTCGGCGGCCATCAGCTCTCCCACGTGAGGCCATTTACCCTACTGCAGCCTCACGAGGGGCCGACCAGATGGGGCCGTCTGATTATAAACTTTCACCCTCCAACACCTCAAGCTAAAGAAGCCTCTTATCTTTATTAAAATACCCAGTCCCACCAGGCATTGGGAGACAGAGGCAGGCGGATCTCTGAGTTTGAGGCCAGTCTGTTCTACAGAGCAAGTTCCAGGACAGTCAGGGCTGAACAGAGAAACTCTGTCTCGAAAAAGCCAAAAAGAAATAAATAAATAATTCACTCTCAATTACTTTTAAGTCTTTTGATAAGATAATGTGTAAAATACTCATTCTCACATATTTTGTTAGCAATGTAGAACGAAGCCATGATGTAACCATAGACAGGAATATGACAGCATAATTAACGTCACAGAAAGCTATTCATATTCTAGCATTAAAACGTTACAAAGGAGCCAGGCAGTGGTGGCACACACCCTTAATCCCAGCACTCAGGAGGCAGAGGCAGGCGGATCTCTGTGAGTTTGAGGCTAGCCTGGTCTACAAGAGTTAGTTCCAGGACACCAGACCAGGTTCTAAAGTTATAGAGAAATCTCAAAAAAAAAAAAGTTACAAAGGTCAGCCAGGAGTACACCGGTCAGGTATAGTAGCTCATGTCTTTAATACCAGCTCTTGGGAGACAGAGGCAGGCAGATCTCTGTGAGTTCAAGGCCAGCCTGGTCTACACAATGAGTTCCAGGATAGCCAGGGTTACACAGAGAGACTCCTGTCTCAAAAAAAGAAAGAAAGAAAGAAAGAAAGAAAGAAAGTTAGTTACAAAGGTCAGTGCTGGAGAGATGGCTCAGCAGTTAAAAGCAATTGTTGCTCTTGCATAGAACCCAAATTCAGGTCCCAGAACCCTCGTGGTTACTCACAACCACCTGTAACTCCAATTCTAGGAGGTATACATAAATATGTGCGAGCAAAACACTCATAAACATAAAATAATCTGGGGGAGGATCTTTTTAAAAAAGCAAAGAAAAGCCAAGAGTCAGAGGCAGGTAGATCTCTGAGTTCTAGGCTACCTTGTCTACAAAGTTCCAGGAGAGCTAGGGCTACATAGAGAAACCGTGTCTCAAAACACAAGAGATGACAGATGATAGATAGATAGATAGATAGATAGATAGATAGATAGACATAGATAGCAAAACAGACAGACAAAAAAACAGCTGCTAAGATTCATTGGGTACCTTCTTTAGATAACGCCCTAGTTGACTGGGTTGCAGAGCTGGTTCAGTGGTTAAACACATTCACTGATCTTCCAGAGAACTCACGTTCTATTCCCAGAACCCACATGGTAGCTCCCAACCATCTGTAACCCCAGTTCAAGAGGAGTTGACACTTTCTTCTGGCCTCCAAGGGCACCAGGCACACAAGCAATGCACAGATGTACATATATTTGGGCAAAACAAGAATGTTAAAAAAGCAAAACAAAACAAAATTAAAAGCCAGGTAAAAAGAACCCAATTGCTAGAGAACTTATTACAAAAGTCTAAAATACTTCATAACACTACATCATAAAGTCACGAGTAAAGCACAGTAACAAACACGGGGCAGGCGTGTTTAAAAAAAATAAACACAAAGAAAACATACCTAAGTTTTACATCAATCAAACACTAGAGGACAATTTGAAGTGGGAATGAAACAGCAGACTCCCAACACATACATCTACATCCCAAAAATTCATAACTATGAACTGACTTGGAGACAGATCTAACTAAGACCCCAAACTGAGGTCATCTTGGATTATCCAGGTGGTCCTAGGTCTAAGGACAGTGTCCTCAGGAGACACAGGGAGAAAAAACAGAGAGGCAGAGGCTGGAAGTATGATCTAAGGGAAGGCAGGATTTTCCCAAGTGCCTCCAGAGGAAGCTCCCACCAACACTTGGATGTTGACTTCTGACCTGCTGTGGTCCAAAATGACCAAGGAAATTAATGCAGATATTATTTCAAGGTATGGGGTGCTGTGTCACAGATATCTGAAAATGTGGAAATGGAGGCAAAGCAAGGTGGTGCATATCTTTGAACCCAGCACTTAGGAAGCAGAGGCAAGCATATCTCTGAGTTTGAAGCCAGCCCAGTCTACATAGCTAGTTTCAGGTCAGCAAGAGACCTTGTCTCAACAACAGCAACAAAACAAAAACAAAACCTGTTAAAATTAGGTAACAGACAGAAACTGGAGAATTTTGAGGCATGTGAGAGAAACTAGGACTGCCTTGCCTGGTTGCTGCTGGAAACATGAAGGACGAGAGAGGGTGTAGTACCCATGGTATGTCCCCATCCCAGCTATTCTGAAGTCTTGAGCCAAGGAGTTTCAAGCTATCCTGGGCACTACAGTGAAACCAACACTTAAGAGAAAGGGGAAGAGGGTAATAGGAAGCTTAAAGACGTTGCTGTGAAACCATGTGAGTTGGAAAAGTGCCTGCCCAGCATGCACAAAACCCAGGGTTTGACCCCAACATCTCATAAACTAGGCACCTTGGCAGTGGTGGCACATGACTGCAGTCCACCACTGGGGAATTGGAGGCAGGGGAATCAAAAGTACAAAGTCATCTCTGGCTACATGGTGAGCTGAAGTTAGGTCTGAGATATAGGAGACCCCTCCTCAAAAAAATATGAAAAGAAAATGTGGAGGTTTGAATGAGAATGGCCCCTAAAGGCTCACATGTTTGTATGCTTACTCCCCAGTTAGTGGAACTGTTTGGGAAGGATTAGAGGGTGTGGCTTCATTGGAGTGTTAAGTCACTGGGGTTGGGTTTTGAGGTTTCTGAAGGCCACAATAGGCCCAATCTAAGCACTTAGCTACTAATCCAGTGACATGCCTGCCTGTCACCATGCTCCCTGTCATAATGGTCATAGACTCTAACCCTCTGAAACTGTAAGCAAGCCCTAAGTTGCCTTGGTTGTGGTGTCTATTCACAGTAATAGAACAATAACTAAAACAGAAAAGGAAGAAAGGAAGGGAGGAAAGGAGGGAGGAAGGAAGAGGCAGATAGATTTCTATGAGTTCAAGGCCATGCTGATCTATATAGTAAATACTAGGCCTGCAAGGGATACATAGTAAGATCCCGTCAAGGGGCTAGAGAGATGCCTCAGAGGGTAAGAGCACTGGCTGCTCTTCCAGAGGTCCCGAGTTCAATTCCCAGCAACCACATGGTGGCTCACAACCATCTGTACATTGTATGCTTAATAAATAAATAAATCTTTTAAAAAAAAAGATCCTGACAAGAAGAAGGAGAAAGAGGCAGGTAGACCTTTGAGTTCAAAGCTAGCCTGTTCTATAGAGCCAGGTCCAGGACAACCAAGGCTATACAGAGAAACCCTGTCTCAACAAACAAGAAAGAAAGAAAGAAAGAAAGAAAGAAAGAAAGAAAGAAAGAAAAGAAAGAAAGAGGAGGAGAAGGAAGAATAAATAAATGAGAAAAACATATTCTCAGATACTCGAAGTGAGATTATCCTTGTCTTGAAGGAGCCAAAGTTGACCTGGTTATGTTCTACTGCTGGGTACAGAATTTGTAAGCAATGAACAAGAATTTTTTAGCGGAAACAATTTCCAAGCAGCTATAGCCCAACTTCTTCTTGTGGATCATCTTAAAAGTCAGGAAGAAAAAGAAATTGAGGAAGGAACTGTTAAGCAAAAAGAAACCAGCATTGATGATTTGGGAAATTAAAAGACTACTCAGTTTGCAAAAAGATGCCAACATTGGAGCGTAACTGTCTGGACAGGATGCTCTGGACAGAAAGCCACATGTGTGACTAGATAGCCTTTTGCCTACGTGTGACTCATGAG